TCTGTCTGCTGTGCCTTCATCTCTGCAATACCCTTGCCACTTGCTTCCTCCAGAATCTCAGAGCACACATGTCCTTCCCTAAAGTCTATGAGGTATTGGTTTACACGCTGCCAGTACACCCAGGCACACTGTGCACAGGACACACATGCCATATAAGTATCCCCCAGCTCTAATATCTGCACAGAATGGCTTTCAGAGGCTTTGGATCCTGTGCTACACCTGCAGCAATGGACAGACACCCACTGGCTTCATCTGCTGGAGAAAGAGCACAGATTATCCTTCTCCCTAATAAAGGAGAACATCTGGCCTATGAAAGTATGCATTGCACTTGCTTTATCAAGATTTTTTAAAAGTATTAGGATTATAAGGATACTTCAAAAAACTTAAGCACCTGCCCATCACAATCCTTCTAAGTGTATTACTTCTTGTTCCAGGGATTGGAGGAATACAAATGATTTAGGGAAGGTTGAAAGTTTGAAAAACATTCAAGTGACAGAGTTCTTCTCTTTCACAGAGAAACACTATTGATTCTGTAAGGGGGGAAAACACAAAACATTAACATGAGTCATCAGTTGTTTAAAAACTAAGTTCTCCTTTTAAAACTTCAAAATGAGAATGTGATTATTCAAATGCCATCTTTAAATGAGCTCTTAATGTATCCCAAAACAGATGGTTCACTGTTAATGTTTCTCGTACCTAAAATAGTTTATTCAAAAAACTACAAAAACAAATCATGTATCACAAAAACAACAACTTTCAACAGCTGCTGAAAAGAAATATAAATTATAGCAGAAAGATATAACAATTCACTATACCTCAAAATCATTAATAAGTCAACATCCACATTCAGAGATGACAGCGACCATCACAATAAATGGTACCCTGTTTAGTGTGTGTGTTTTTAACCTAAACAGACTTTGTAATTTGTGGTTAATTATTCTGGGACCATTGCCATTATTTTATTCAAGATTTGCTATCTGGTTTTAACAAACTAATGAGGTGTTAGCAAAATTCTTATGTGAATAGAAAGAATGCATCACCACTCTTTATACAGCAGTCCCAATATACCAATATCAGGTGCTGTTCCTCTCCTCAGAAGATATCATAAATACTAGTAGCATGCCATGTGCTTAATTACCTAACTAACCCTCCTCTAGAATACAATGCATGCTTATGCTTTGTATCTCAGCTTTCCCAGACAGATTGTTCCAGTTTAAGTCCTCCATACTGGATGTCCATTACAATCTCTGTGGGGTTTTTCAGCAAAACCAGCTACATTTGTTTGAGAAGAGAGTTGGGGAAAAAAAAGAAATTGCTTGAAATTACTTGAATCACTTGAATCCTTCTTAGAAGATGCCTAAGATCGGAGCCAAATATGAGACAGAGATAAGGAAGGGAGGATCAACCTTGGTTATTTAAAATATCTTTGCAGTTCCCATAAAAATCTGTCCAGACTGGGGCAACTTACACACCAGAGGTTTGCTACATGTGCTGCGGCTGCCCAGAGCTCCAGCTGCTGACTCAGAAGCAGCTGACCCTCTCTGCAGCCTTCAACAAGTCTGGGGCAGGGCATTGCCTGGCCTGGCTGAGAAATCAGGCTCTCGGTCATCTGGCAGAGGTGCTAGTCAACAATGGACCACCTTGCTGATCCTCACATGCGCTGGGAGAACAGGGTTTGGACTAGCCATCTGGAAAGGCAAGATGAGTGACAGGAGACCTGACTAGGACAGGGACTTTGCCCTGCTTTGTCAGGGTACTTCCATGACTTTCTTGGTAGACATCTCCAAAAGCAATGTAAATAAGGCTAATCATGGGAAAAAGGAGCCTCATCTGCTCTGCAGCTTCAGTGAGGATTCAGAGCAGCTGGGTGCTCAGTATCAGATAAGGCAGAGGACCTGGGCCAGAAGTAGGATATGTCATCTCGTAATTAGAGATGATGATTTTGCAACGCATATGCTAAATAAGACTGGTCAAAACACTGTCATTTTGGCATCCGTTATGTTCCTTAACTTTGCAACCCAGGTATCTCTTAATATCTCCTTTTTACATAGTTTTTGTGTCAGTACACTATTATGTATAAATAAAATGGAAAATAAGTCAATCCACTAATATTTACTAATATTAATAACTAATAAGTAAGATCAATTGCATTCTTTGGAGAATGGATGATGAGGTAAGAGAGTTGGTGGCCCAAGAAAGGGCTGGGAACTACTAGCAAAGCATTAATTACCTGAGAAATACCATGGGACAAGGTTGCCATTTCTTTAGCAGGGATGCCTGTGAATTTTACCGTTGGGAGTCTGGTTGCAATCTGTAAAGCATGGACAGAGGAGAACGAGTCGTGCTCCTAGGCTTGATGCTACGAGAGCACAGAGGCTCCACTATGAAGCAAGAGCAGCAGAAAGGATTAGACTTTCTTGATCAAAAATCATTTTTGTGTCATTCAGTCAGATCACCCTTGAGCAGAACTGAATATTCCCACGGAAGCAGCAGTTTGAAGAGTTTTTCTCTGGCCACCTCAACTTGGTGAACCTGAACCTATCTAATTAATACCAGCTGTCAGACATTTTTCATTGTGTTCTGCTCTCTACTTACTTTTTTATGCCTGAGTCTAAACATTGTATCATCTAGGGTATTGCTTGTCAAATATTTTATCTTAGTACCTTTCATTAGTTTGAGGCAAAAATGTCAAAACAATATCCAGTTTCACATCATGAGGTTGATTTGTAAATTCTCATTGGAAAAATAAAAGTCCTTTCTTTCAAGTTAGCAGTGGAGAGAAATTAACCCAAATTCTTGGACTGTCTTAATGATGCATTATAATGCATTATAAATGCAACATATGTGCTATATCTGGAAGGATATATATTTTATACAGTGCTCATAATGATCCCATCTGGACCAGTATACTGTAACAACACTTCCTAGAATGTCAGGACTAGAAGTTTATTTATACAGAAATGCATACACAGATGCATATACACACACAGGGAAAACAGTTATTATGCTACAACTCCTGGACTTCTAGCAATTCTATACACAGCCATGATTTAGAACAACATAAAATAAAGCAAATAACAATGACAACTAAACATTAAAAAGGTTGAAGAACTTAGATGGGAAGGGTACACAATCCCTGAGAATCTTTGCAAACATGGCCCTTGCGGGTGAAGCCTGGATGCTGCCAATGTCAATCAGAGCTTTATCCTTGCAGGTGAAGCATCCAGGTACCACTTGATCCAGGTGGAGGCTTTGCATTCCAGGGAGTTACACGACACACTTTCCCTGATCTCTCCCTCCTGTGCTGCAAGCGTAAAGCCCAATTTACTTTCTTTCTGAAACAAAGCACTGCACATAGCTAACTGGATCTTATTTTTATGGATAAAAGCAACAAGAACATACCTTTAGCCCTGAATAAGAGGAAATGTAGTCATCTTATCTGAGTCTTTGGCAGCCTATATCTCAGAGACTACCACACAATGTTATGATGCCTGCCCAGGGCTGTGTTGAAGGCTTGCTGCAGCAGGCACCAACAACAGTACTTCGCTTGTGTACCACTGCAAGGAAAGGCTGTGACCTTTCCTGGCTCATGTCACTGCAGAAAAGATAGTGCTGCTCAAAATTAAAGCTTCAGATGAGCCCCGACGCTCACAGCCTGAGTCCCTAGGCCTAGCTGCGTTCTATCCAAGCAGCAGAAGCACCACGCCCATAGCAACCTTGTGTTCTCTCCATTTGTTACACACAGCGGAAATCCCAGGCAGCTTCAACAATGAGATGTCTTCTGCTACTGCAGCAGCAGGTAACTCTCTCTCTGACCAATCTGATAGCCTTCTCAGATGAGATGGCCAGATGGGTCGATGAGGGGAGAGCAATGTATTGTTGTCTACCTCAACTTCAGCAAGGCTTTTGACACTGTCTCCCATAATATCCTCGTAGGTAAGTTCAGGCAGTGAATGGACTTCAGACAGTGGTGGATCAAGAACTAGCTGAATTGCAGAGCTCAGAAAATCATTATCAGCCAAGTGGAATCCAGCTGGAGGCCTGTAGTCATTGATGTTTCCCAGGGATCAGTACTGGGTCCAGCCTTGTTCAACTTTGAGATATTTGTATGCATTACTGAGATCCAATGGCCTGGACCAAAGGATAGAATATACCCTCAGCAAGTTTGCTGATCATACAAAGCTGGAGGGATTGGCTGATCTGAATGCTGTGCTGTCATTCAGTGGGATCTTTGATAGGCTGAAAAGTTGGGTGGAGAGAAACCTAATGAAGTTCAGCAAGGGCATGTGTAAGGTCCTGCATCCGGGAGGAATAATCCCAAGTAGTAGTAGAGGTTGGAGGCTGACCTACCAGAGAGCAGCTCTTCTGAGAAGGACCTGAGTCTTGGATGACAAACTGACTATGAGCTGGCAGTGTGTCCTTGAGCCCAGGAGGGCCAATGGTATCCTAGGAGGCATCAGGAAGACTGTGACCAACAGACTGAGGGAGGTGATCCTGCCTCTCTACTCAGCCCTAATGAGGCCACATCTGGAGTGCTGTGTCCATTTCTGGGGTCCTCAGTACAAGAAAGACAAGGAGCTACTGGAGAGGGGCCAGTGGAGGGCTGCAAAGATGATAAGGGTCTGGAGCACCTCTCGTATGAGGAGAGACTGCAGGACCTGAGCCTGTTTAGAGAAGAGAAGACTGAGAGGGCATCTCATTAATGCATATAAATATCTCAAAGGTGGGTGCCAAGAGGATGGTGCCAGACTCTTTTCAGTGATACCCAGAGACAGGATGCAGAACAAGAGCCATAAACTCAGACACAGGAAGTTTCACCTCAACTTGAGGAAGAACTTCTCTACATTGAGGGTGGCAGAACACTGGAACAGGTTGCCCAGGGAGGTTGTGGAGTCTCCCTCTCTGGAGACATTCAAAACCCACCTCGACGTGTTCTTATGTCACCTGCTCTAGGTGACCCTGCCTTGCAGTGGGGTTGGACTGGATGATCTCCAGGGGTCCCTTCCAACCCTAACAATTCTGTGATTCTGTGATTCTTTAAATCAAGAGCACATAGATTTTCCTGCAAGTGTAATCATACCCAAACAAAAAACATTTAGAATAAATTTTAGGTCACATCCTTGTCATAGGTTTTCTTTTTTTTTTTTTTTTCATTAGCTTCTGGTAATTTTTTCACACCAACTGCTTGGCTAAGGGTGGAGACAAGTTTTTCAGGTTTTGGTGATTGCTCAGCTTAGACGTTAATGACTGCCTTGTTGATATGCTAAGCAACTCCTCTGGGCAAGAGGCAGGACTCTTTTGTTTCCCTCTAGCCGAGGTCAGGAGTGGGGGTTTGGTATTCTTTTTTCTCTGCCTCAGGGGGGAAGGACGGGGTTACGGGCAGAACTTGGGGGGTGAGTGTGGCGGGTGGAGAAAAAAAAGCTCCATTCATTCCGGCTGCTTTTGGGCCCCAGCTCACCTCTGTTTTCCTCTCACTCCCTGTCCTGCCCACTGTCGGCTAGCTCAGCTCGGATTTCATCGGAGCTGCCAAGAACCAGGGGAGCTCCATTTGGTTTCTCCAGTGAGAGAGCGCCCCTGCAGGACGGCACCCACCTCTGCTGTCACGGAGACTGCCAGCATCTTGTGAGTTTTTTCCCGCTCTTCCTGGGTCTCCCTGCTGCTGGCTGGATGGACTGACACCTCGGTTCCTTGCTGGCTGCCCCTTTCGGGGCCGAGGGCTGGGAGCCCACCCTGGGGTCTCGAACCGCCCGGCGCTGCTGAGAGCCGCCATTGGCCACGTGCGGCTTGTCAACAGCGCCCCCTGCCGGCCACTGCGGAGCAACTACAGCCTCCGCTCCACCAGACACACACACCCCCCCCCCCAACAGCGCCCCCCGCTGGCCGTGGTTAGAATTGTGCCAAAAGGTGAGGAGAACTGAACCGCTTTTGGTGGGAATCTGGGTGCAGGATTGTTGTTTGGTTTTGTTCTTCTGTTGTGCTGCCTACACACGTATATCCTTTAATAAAGGGCTGTTATTTTTTCTTTCTCCATATTTCCTTGACTGGAGCCTCTTAATTTCAGATTTACAACTGCTTAGAGGGAGGAGTTCAGTCTTCTTCATAACTTGCCCTCCTTAGCAAACGTTTCTCTCCCGTCAAGCTGAGACAATCCTGTAATAACTATGTAAAGCCTAATTCCTTTTAGAGAGAAGTGCAAACCCACATGTTTTCCATGTAATTTCGCCATCCTCCAGAGCAACTCACAGAGTTACACTGAAGGGAAATATTTACACACTCCAAAGGCTGAGTAACGGTATTACTCAAGGCTGAACTTCTATAAATTAGCATGAAGCATGACCAAATACTGAAATCTGAAAAACTATAACTGGACCAAGCTAATGAGCAGTAAAGCAGTTTACTGGGCAGGAGTCAGTTTACATCCAAACGTGCACTCACATGTACAAAAGAATTAGTTTTGTATGAATAATTTCCCAGTTAGTCAAAGAAGCTGTCAAGAAAGAAAAGACTGAAGAGGAAGCAATGTTTTAGGAGTAAATAAGTACAGTGATGATGTATAAACTTTTGAGAATTATGATGAGTGTGAAATTTTAGCAGAAAATAAACAACTGGTTACGTTCGGCGACATAAGTCAGGACAGCTTTAATACCACAAGGATGAATAGATGGGACCTAAAACTAATTGAAATCAGAAGTAAAATATTGTTAAAGAAAATGCTAATACAGCCAACAGACAGAACATGGGACTAAGGGTATGAAAATTAGAAGTACCTCAAATAAAGTGGAAGCAGAACTGAAAGATTTTGTGAATTCTGGATTGAAGAAATCAGACAAACTCAATCTCAAAACGTTTAAGGTTATCTTCTATGAAATCTTGGCTTTGATAGCAAATATTTTCCATAAACTTCTCTAGTTAGTGAAGGCACAATATGAGTGGATAATAGGAAACTAATGTCCATATTGAAATTATAGGGAGAAAAGTGAATTAGTAGAAAAAAACTATGTTGGGCAAACTTCAATGACATTTAAGGTTTTAGAGCAAATTAGGAAAGGCAGCCTAAGGAAAGACAGAGTGAAACAGAAACTGGAGAATATGAGGTTGTGAAAACCAAAGCCAAGCCAACATATTCTTTTTCACAGAATCACAGAATATGCTGAACTGAAGGGGACACACAAGGATCATCAAGTCCAACTCCTGGCCCTGCACAGGACCATCCTCAAGAGTCACACTATGTGCCCAAGAGTATTGTCCAAATGCCTCTTGAACTCTGTCAGGCTTGGTGCTGTGACCACTTCCCTGGGGAGTCCCTCTGGGTGACAAACTTTTTTCTAATATCCAACCTAAATGTCCCCTGACACAGGTTCAGGGCATTCCCTTGGGTCCTGTCACTGGTCACCACAGAGAAGAAATCAGTGCCTGCTCCCCACTTCCCCTCATGATGAAGTTTTAGACTGCAGTGAGCTCTCCCCTCAGTCTCCTCCAGGCTGAACAGATCAAGTGACTTCAGTCCTTCCTAATACGGCTTCCCCTCAAGGCCCTTCACCATCTTCATTGCCCTCCTTTGGACTCTCCAATAGCTTAATATCTTTATTCTATTGTGGTGCCCAAAACTGCACACAATATTCAAGGTGAGGCCGCCCCAGTGCAGAGCAGAGCAGGACAATCCCCTCACTCAATTTGCTGGTGATGCTTTGCCTGATGCCCCCCAGGACACGGTTGGCCTTCCTGACTGCCAGGGCACTGCTGACTCATATTTAACTTGCCATCAACCAGGACCCCCAGCTCCCTTTCCGTGGCACTCTTCTTCTTTGAGTCATTTTATTTTTCATTAAAACAATCTCTTAAGCGAAGAACTAAGACTTAGAAGTGACTAAGGTTTTCCAGCACTGGCTAGTGTTCATGTTAATGTAGGTGCTGCAGAGGTATAAAATGTTGAGCCACAGGCTCCAGTTCCCTGTGCAACAAGATGGAAAAGGGTTCAGAGGGTAGCTGGGGAAACAGCCCCTGAAAACAAAGGGGTCCAGGAGGGATGGACATGCTTCAAGAAGCAACACACAGGAGCAGGCTGTCTCAGTGTGCCAAAAGGCGAGCCAGCAGGGAAGATGTCCAGCCTGGCTGAACAGGGAGATTTTGAAGGGGAAAAAAGAGAGCTAACATACTATGGAAAAAAGGGCTGGCTACTCAGGAAGAGTTTAGGAATATAGTTAGGTCAATGTAGAAAGAAAATCAGAGAGACAAATGCACAATTCGAACTCAGTCTAGCCACTTCTGTTAGGGATAACAAGAAGTGTTTCTACAAATACATCAGTAGCAAAAGGAGAGACAAGGAAAACCTCCATTCTTTGTTGGACACGGCAGGGAACATAGTCACCAAAGATGAGGAAAAGGCTGAGGTATTTAACACCTTCTTTACCTCAGTTTTCAACAGTAAGACAGGTTGTCCTCAGGACAACTGGCCTGTGGAGCTGCTAGACAGAGACAGGAAGCCAAATAGCCCCCCTGTAATCCAGGAGGAAACAGTTAGTGACCTGCTGAGCCACCTGGATCCTCACAAGTCTATGAGACCAGATGGGATCCACCCAAGGGTGATGAGGGAGCTGGTGGAAGAGCTCACCAAGCCGCTCTCCATCATTTAGCAACAGTCCTGGCTCACTGGGGAGGTCCCAAATGATTGGAAGTTGGCAAATGTCATGCTGATCCACAAAAAGGGCTGCAAGGAGGACTTGGGAAACTACAGGCCTGTCAGCCTGACCTCAGTGCCTGGCAAGGTTATGGAGCAGATCATCCTAAGTGCAATCACACAGCATGTACAGGATGGACAAGGGATCAGACCCAGCCAGCACGGGTTTAGGAAAGGCAGGTCCTGTCTGACCAACCTGATCTCCTTTTATGAGGAGATGACCCTGGTGGATGGGGGGGGAAGGCTGTGGATGTGGTCTGTCCGGACTTCAACAAAGCCTTTGACACCGTCTCCCACAGCATTCTCCTGAAAAAGCTGTCAGCCCACAGCTTGGACAGGGGCACTCTGTGCTCGGTTAGGAACTGGCTGGAGGGCCAGGCCCAGAGAGTGGTGGTGAATGGTGCTGCATCCAGTTGGCAGCCGGTCACTAGTGGTGTCCCCCAGGGATCACTGTTGGGCCCAGTTCTCTTTAATATCTTCATTGATGATCTAGATGAGGGGAGCAAGTGTACCATTAGGAAATTTGCAGATGACACTAAGTTGGGGGGGAGTGTTGATCTGCTGGAAGGCAGGAGGGCTCTTCAGAGGGACCTGGACAAGCTGGAGAGATGGGCTGATTCCAATGGGATGAGGTTCAACAAGGTGAAGTGCCGGGTCCTGCACTTTGGCCACAACAACCCCATGCAGAACTACAGGCTGGGGACAGAGTGGCTGGAGAGCAGCCAGGCAGAGAGGGAGCTGGGAGTTTGGATTGACAGGAAGCTGAACATGAGCTAGCAGTGTGCCCAGGTGGCCAAGAAGGCCAATGGCATCCTGGCCTGGATCAGGAACAGTGTGGCCAGCAGGACCAGGGAAGTGATTCTTGCCTTGTACTCAGCACTGGTGAGGCCACACTTGGATTATTGTGTCCAGTTCTGGGCCCCTCAGTTCAGGAAGGATATTGAGGTGCTGGAGCAGGTCCAGAGAGGAGCAACAAGGCTGGTGAAGGGACAGGATCACAGGTCCTGTGAGGAGAGGCTGAGGGAGCTGGGGTTGTTTAGCCTTGAGAAGAGAAGGCTCGGGGAGACCTCATCGCTCTCTACAACTGCCTGAAAGGAGGTTGTAGCCAGATGGGGGTTGGTCTCTTCTCCCAAGCAACCAGCAGTAGGACAAGGGGGCACGATCTTAAGCTGTGCCAGGGGAGGTTTGGGTTGATATTAGGAAGAAATTTTTTACGGAGAGAGTAATAATCAGGCTTCCCAGGGAGGTGGTGGATTGACTGTCCCTGGAGGTTTTTAAGATGAGACTGGATGTGGCACTTAGTGCCATGGTCTAGTAGCCACGGTGGTGTTGGATCAAGGTTGGACTTGATGATCTCAGAGGTCTTTTCCAACCCGGTTGATTCTATGATTTCTAGGGAAACTGAACAGCCATAGCATTGGAGGCAAACAGTCAGCTTACACCATGGAGGGAGGTGACAGGCAGCATTCTTCAAGGGTCTGCACTGGGATTTGTGGTCTTCAACAAGTTTAGAATGATGTAGAAATACCCATGTGGTGACATTTCTGATGCTTATTTATTCAGGGTAGCTGAAATGAGCAATCTTCAACAATTTCAAGAGGACCTCATGAGACTGGATAACTGGAAAATAACACACAGCTGAAATTCAGGGTAGATAATTATAAAGTCAGCCTCAAAGGAGAAAAACAAAATATCTTAATTCCAAATGTAAGATGATTGTTTCCAAGCTGACCATTACCACTTGAGCACAGTAAGATTATGATAAATAGTTCCATAAATACATCAACTTAGTGCTCAGTTGCAGTCAAAAGACCAAATGGAATAATAAAAATTCTTGGAAAAGGAACAGAGACTAAAATCAAGAACAACATTCTGTCCCTGTATAAATACAGGGTTTATCCAGAAATTGAATACTGTGTGTGGTTCCACTACTCGTATCTTCAGCAGCATGTAATAGAATTGAGAACAGTTCAGAGAACAGATACAAAGATGTTCAAAGATGTGGATTTGTGTAGCATTTTACCTGCATTATATGGGAAAACTGTGGTTTAAACAGGTTTTAAAATGGCTTTTGGTGGTGTCTTTGCAAACACATGCTTCTTCTTCCCAGCACTCCCCATGTTATCCATGCAGGAATGTCCTGCATAACCCCCATGTTATCCATGCAGGAATGTCCTGGGAAGGTGTCCTGAGGTGTTTCCCATTGGCCTTTGTTAACCTCTTCTTGTGATTGGGTGTTCCTGTAAGCCCCTTGAGACTTCTAATTGGTTACTCTGTGAATCCTCCTAAACCCTATAAATGTAACATCCCCAATAATAAATGCGCTCTTGCCTCCTCTCCACGCCATGGGGCCACGTGCGGGGGGGGGGGAGAGGGGATCACCTCTCCCCTCCAGGCTCAGGGCCTGAAAAGACCCCTGAGAAACCCCTGGAGTTCCCTTTCCCATCCTTCAAAGCGTTGCAATGGTTCTTCAGATGGAAACGGAACTAGAACTGGGCCGCCCTACCCCGTGGGTGGGGAAAGGGATCCAGAGATTTGTTCCCACTAAGAAAAAAATTTGTATTGTTTATTGTTTCAGAGCCCTCAGTCTAAAAAGAAGCAACTGAGGATAGAGGTCCACAAAAGCATGACACCCTGCATCTGCCAGGCAACTTGGAAAAGGCATTTGGAGCTGACTGTCCAGGAAGGGCATTGTAACATCAATCATAGAAGAAGTAATTTGATGAGCCAAGGTCTTCAGGGAGAGATAATGTCTCATTAAATCAAACACTATACTTGAGGAAGAGATGACAAATTTCTGGGCATGCCCATCCTTTAGGTTATTTGGCATCTACCATACTATGCATCTGGCAAAAAATATCTCTTTCAAGGCAGTATTGAAAATGTCTTGAACATTCCTCTTTTCCTAATGACTTGGTTGCTATTTTGTTCAGAGAGCACTACATATCTCAGTTGTTTTACTGTCTTCACAGTGTTCATGTGCTGGCTGAAGCCCATATGATTTAGCTGAGATGGGAATGGGAGCACATAGAAAGAATCCCCTTGTAAACCCTTTTCCATCTTGTTGCACAGGGAACTGGAGCCTGTGGCTCAACATTTTATACCTCTGCAGCACCTACATTAACATGAACACCAGCCAGTGCTGGAAAACCTTAGTCACTTCTAAGTCTTAGTTCTTCGCTTAAGAGATTGTTTTAATGAAAAATAAAATGACTCAAAGAGGAAGAGTGCTTTCCTCTGTAGCAGAAGTGCTTAACAGGGCAGAGATAGCAGGGCAGCCGTACATTTTCTTTTTTTTTGGTGGCAAGACATAATGTAAGTGATATTATTCAGTGTGTCTGTGCATCTATCCATGTCTCTGTGTTAAAGGCTGATAAGGAAAGAATGCAGGAATCTGTAAGAAAGAGCTGTGGCTGAGCTCTCATCTGAACTGCATGCTATGATGGTATCTTCTCTGATTTACAATCCAGTGCATTTAATTCTTATTACTTGCAGTCAGGAGGCACTCTGCATTTTCCCTCCTCTATAATAATCAGTGGAACAAGAGCTTTTTATCTTATGATGTCTCCTTTGGCACTCCTGGAAGAGAAGTCTTTAACATAACAGAATGATAGAGTATTAGTGAAATGCAAGGCTACCGAGTATGAGTTATTTGTCCTGATGTTTATTATTTCATTACTGGTAATTAAATACATTTGCCATCTGTTACCTCAGTGACCTAAAGAGCACGTCAGTAGAGCTCTACCCACATTGGCATCATCTGTGATCTCCCTGGAAGTCTCTTTTAGAAACAGCAGCAGCAAGACAAGAAAACAAGAACAGCCTGATAGAATTATTGGAATTGCCAAAACACACACCAGGGGCACAGTCATTAAAATGCTGCAGAAGTAATTTCAGTCTGGAAATTATCTGTGACTTAAATGCCTTTTATAGATTACCAATTCTAATGATGTTTTGCCTAATGGCACATTAAAAGCAGTTTTCCATCATTTTTAATTAATTGTTGAAAGCAAACAAACATCCAAATGTCTGATAACATAGCCTCAATTCTGTAAACCGAGGTAAGTGTTTGATTTTGCTCACATGAGTAGCTCTTTTTAACTTCATGTATACAAAAGCCCAGGAAACCAACCACATTTGTCTGCACTTGCAAAATTGGAGCCAAGGATCATCACCAACTTTCTCTCCTTGCAAAGCAAAACATGTCCTTTCTTTTTGTTCCAGAGCACTTGCGGTAGAGGCTGGTTAATCTCTTTGTTGTCAGGGGTGGGGGAGCAGGAGCTGAAAAGAAATGTGTGGAAAGAAGGAGAAAAACAATAAAGTAAACATTTCACAACAATCTCCAATGAAAGTTACCACAAGACACACCAGCGCTGCCAGATGGATTGGGTAAGTATTAATTCCAACAGATTTTCCTCATTGATGTGGAAAATCTTGAAAAGTGACTCCATAAGTGTTGATTGTTTATGGTCTGGGTTTATTGCATCTCAGCGCCTTCAGCCTAGATATGTTGCATTTAACAGAAAGAACACAAAGCAAACAAAATCCCTTTATTAACAAAAAACTACTTCTGCAAGGCATTAGAATTACACAAAATACAAATACATCATACTCTGCCTTGGAACTATTCCTGAAGCTTTATTACTTTACTTACTTTCGCATGCTTATTTGAAATTTAGTGTTACTTTACGAGGTTAAGCAGCTGCTGTACACAATTACAAGAATGACTACCTATCAGCAAGGTGCAGTGATTTTTGTGCGTATTATATACAAGCAGCTGTATAGCATTGGCCCAAGATACATGAAGCTTCAAGCAAGTAAGGGGTGCCTCGCTGTTGAGCACTTTATGTATACGTATATATATAGATATATAGATATATATATAATGTAGGGATTTAGCAACTGCGTGCCTGGTCAGGGCTTCCTGGAGCCACAGCCCAGCAGATGAAAGCATACACATTGAAGTATTACCTGAACTAGAATCAATCACAGTATGTTTCTGAGAGCAAATATTTACTACTTGCATCTGAAGAGCTGAGGTATCCTTCAGACCTGAAAGCTTTTATTGTGGGTTCTTACCAGTAATTAAATATGTCAAAACTAGGTCCTTTCAGTTGAGCAAATATAAACATAGGCTTATAGAAGAAACCACTAGCCTATTGCTTTAGATGTTATTAATGAAGGGGAAAATTTTGGCAGCCTGAGAAAACATTTCATTAAAATACCTGATGCAAGTTGAATGTTGGGCTACATACAGTTATTGGCCTCTGCTCAGTCAAAATTGCTTTTGCTACCAATTATTATGGTAAAGCAACATTTGCAACAACAAAGTCCTCAGATATCCCTGAACTCAGTCTCCTGCCTGTTTAGCTCCAGCTGCAAGTGCAGAATGGGAGTCTCATGGGTCCTTCTGCCCCCTCCAGAAGGAGCTTGTCAGCCAAGCATCAGGGCCAAATCTTTATCACCTACCATCTGCCCTGGACCAGAGGCTCCCACAAAACATTTTCCACCTCTACTCTGTGTTTCCGTTCTGTTTCTCTTTTTAACAGACAAAAGTGATAAGAAGGCCTTTGCTGTGAAAAGCTGAAGGCAGCCAAGCCCTTCAATTTCAGTACAGCCAAAATTACAGCCCCTGGACCTCCACCTGCGTAGTGTGCTTCCAGCTCACACTCAAACTGCAGGCAAAAACTATTATTAAGACTGAAAATCCAGTACACGCATGGTAGAGCACTCCAGAATTAGAGTTGAATGTTTTTTCATAGCCAAGACAAGTCTGATGTTTTGGAATTGGTTCTCAGCTTGATTTCAGGTTAAAAATGTTCTGAAAATTACTACTGCCTTGTTATTTGTTTTGTTTTAATATTTTCAGAACATTATGTTCTTATTTTGCCCTATTTATTTTATGAATTCTTTCATATAAAGTAAATGTTTAGGGTGACACATTGTTCTGCATTAAAAAAAAAAAAGGCAAGAAACCCACCAGATTTTTTATCTAAAGAAAAAGAAAAGAGGACAATTAGGGGCAATTTTTGAAGTTTTTACGCAGAACTATCTGACTGGAAGATTCTGTTAAAACCATCCATTTCCCTACAAATGTTTTTGCTCAATCAACATTTTTGATTCTCCCAGTGGAGAGTTTGAATACTGTGCCGACTATTCAAACTGCCCTCAGACAGTATAATTATGTTGTTACTCTCCTGCTCATTGTCCTACTCTGCTCTGCACTGGGGTGGCCTCACCTTGAATATTGTGTGCAGTTTAGGACACCACAATAAAAGAAACACATTAAGCTATTTAGAGTGCCCAAACAAGGGCAACAAGAATGGTGAAGGGCCATGAGGGGAAGCCGCATGAGGAACAGCTGAGGTCACTTGGTCTGTTCAGCCTAGAGAAGAGGAGACTGAGGGGAGACCTCATTGCAGTCTACAGCTTCCTTGTAAGGGGAAGAGGAGCGGCAGGCACTGATCTCTTCTCTGTAGTGTCCAGTGACAGGACTGAGGGAATGACCTGAAGTTGCGTATGGGGAGGTTTAGGTTGGATATTAGGAAAAGATTCTTCACTCAGAGGGTGGTGGGGTGCTGGAACAGGCTCCCCGGGGAAGTGGTCACAGCATCAAGCCTGACAGAGTTTAAGAAGCATTTGGATGATATTCTGTGGAACATGATGTAACTATTGGGGATGGTCTTGTGCCGGGCTAAGATTTGGACTCGATGGTCCTTGTAGGTCTCCTCCAGCTCAGCATATTCTGTGATTCTGTGATATTCTTGCTGCAGTTCTTTTCCATCAGCACCATTTCATAGCCACTGCTTCACGTCTTTCTGCTCATCAGAAAGGTATTTTTATTTCCCATGCCAAGCTAATCATCCCTCACTGGTAGTCTGCAGAGACAGAGGCTGGTACAGAAAAACAGAAATCTGGAGAAGTGGAGCTGTCCCCAGCCACTCATATATCTTCCCATTCCATGTTCCCTGTCTGCAACTTTCAGGTAGCCATGGGTAAAATTTCTACACACTCCACCAACCCCCTTCAAAAATGAATACATCACTAGTCAACCTGAGACGGACTCACAATACCTGCTATTTCAGCCCGTGCAGTTAAAGTCTGTCAAAGTAATAAGAAACATATAATAATAATAATAAAAAAATCTTCTAATGGAAAGCATTAAGCAGCCTTAATAAATAATTTTTTGCAGCTGAAGGAGGAGACAGGCTTTCTGCAACAGGGACCTGACTCCCCTGCCCTTAGAGGGCATTTTCCCACCTTTTACCTCTCTCCCCACATGTTCCTGTTGTGCCTCTTCCCACTCCTTTAGTCTCTTCTGTTCCTTCCCACATTTTAGACAAAAGCAAAATCTCAGATGAACCATCAGATGAGCAAGCTCAGGTATCCAAGAAGTCTTGGCAAGTGATGCCAGCTCTTCTATTTGTAATTAATTCATGAATTTTAGGAATATAAACTAACTTATATTTTATCCGAGCAGGATAAAGATTTCCTTCTCATTTAAAGTGAGTCTATAAAGCAAATAAGTATCACAGACAGAGGTTATTGGTGGTGCAGACTCCAGAGGTGCTGCTCACAGTGGAGGTGCTCAATTTCCCATGGCTGATGCCATTCAAGCTACAGCAATGCCTGAACTGTCTCTTTGCCAAGCACTAAAATACCCAGAGGCAGAGGACGTCCTGGAAACTCCATAGAGACAGAGGCTGGGATGGGAAAACAGAAACCTGGGGAAGTGGTGTGATGCCTGTTGTGGTGCGACACTGGCAGACTAGCAGGCAGTCTGTATCACGAGTC